GTGTGTGTGTGTGTGTGTGTGTGTGTGTGTGTGTGTGTGTGTGTGTGCGCGCGCGCGCATTCTAAACGCAGAAATGTTCACAGCCACTTCTGAAATACGGGAGTGTGTGGGAAATAATAAACCTGTTTGATCACGTTATGAAACACCTTTACAGCCACCAAGTCCTGAGGTGAGACTTGAACTTAGAACAGCTGGCATAGAGGTTGGGAGTTACCACTTAATGCAACCTCCCTTGAATTACAGTTTCAGGCCTTCCTGCAGTTCTATTTCACTAAATGGCTAGACAAATTGCCCAACTTATTCAGCGACAAATTACTTTAAGAAAGTAATGTTTCCCCCTTTTAAACTGGTCATGTCCTTGCTCTCATTTGCTTCATTGATTGAGTTTCCATTGTGTGTGTGTTTGTCAGGCACTGCAGAATGAAAGCCAGGTGCTGGCTCCTAAGGAGGGAATGAGGATCATTAGAAACACAGTCACTCACATATGGTGCATTTTCTATTCAATGCACTTACACCGAACTAATGTGCAAGCTGTAGAGAAGGAGAAGCATAGCAGGTGGACGAATCCTTTGCTGTGCTGGCCATTGGTTTTTCTGACAGCATTGACCTGGTTAAAAAAAGCTATTTGTTTAATCATGTGGCCAGAAAATTGAGCAAAGCTACAGCCCAAATGGAGTTGTCACCTTGATGTTTTAAAATATCTGATGTTGGAGTAAATAAGACCACTAAATTTATCTTAAATAAGACCATGATCGCTATGTGAGCAGCAAGAGAATTTAATCCAATTGACCACAAAACTCCGGTTTGTAAAGCATGTGAATTTCACCTTGAATTTCGGCATTATTGTCTCATTATCTGATATTTTCCATTACCACGAGTAACTGTGTGGTTTCCATTGCTGATACCACATCACACAGATGACGCCAAAGCTGTTCTTTCTAGCACAATCTGTTGAAGTGCAAACATTGTACCATTCATCTTCATTTTATAATTACTAGCTTTCCAAATTTTAAATGGATGAATTATCAAATTTATTTGTTTTATGTTTTACATTGCAGTTGCACAGAAGAAAGGAAATTTAAATTATTTATTGGCATCAGATGTTGCTGACTTATATTTTAACTGTCTTCTTTCAGAGCCATTTCAGGCTTGGACTGGATTTTATGCCTCTCGGAATGTACTCAAAGGTCTGGCCCGGAGAGCAAATTCTTTCCTGTATGCTTGTGAATCCCTTTTCACGTTGTACCTCTTGAGACATTCATTAGGATCTATAGACAAATTTTGGGCTCTACAACAAATTCAACATCTGAGATGGGCAGTATCAGAGGTGAGGTCTTTCAGGCACCTTGTTGAACAACTGCATTTTCTGGTGAGGCATAAAGCAAAGAAATATTCCAAATTCTATTCATGGCCCGTCATGAGACACTGATCAAAATCCCAACACATGTAATTGTTTTCCTTTTTTTCCCTGAGTTCTTTGCCTGAAGGCAGGTCTGACTCACAATGTAAACAATCTCCACCATGATTAGGGTAAAAACGCAGGTACTGAGCCCACCGCAGCCAGAATGGGGATGAAACTCCACGTTATCGTCAATAATTGGATCCACACGCCTAACCATCCAACAAAGCCAATTGACTCTCAGGGGGTTGATGTGGCAACATCCACTTTTACACCCATGTGTAGCTGGAACTATGGATAATGATGATAGAGAAAATCACTATTAAAAAGAGTACTGCCCTTAAAAAGCTAATCACTGCATTTGTGGTCCTAAATGAGGAATTGAAATTTGTTGTATGTGGCAAGTTAAGGAACCAGACTCAATTCTAGATGTAGTATTTATTTTTTAAAAATTTACAAAACTAACCATGCAGTGAAGTTGCCATTGTCCTACCAGATGATAGAGCTGCCTTCTCATTTGACAGCGATGACTGGTGGTGGTTTAAACTGATGATCACCATGCCTCACATGAGGGGAAAGGTTGGGATGGACAGTCCTTCAGTAACCTCATCCAATGCCAGAATGAACCCACACTGTTGGTATCTGCATTGCAAATCAGCTGTCTAACCAACTGAGTTAACTGACCCCATGTAGTGACTAAGAAAGATTGAGGTAGTATTAAAAGTTGGTACTCCCAGTGAAAGCTTTGCACAACTGATGGAACTACCCAGAACTTGCATGTGACATTATAATGCCTCAGTGCAGTATAATTATTTGCCTTGATATGGTCACAGTACCCTGGTGAGTGGAAACACCTGTTCAATTAGAATAAACAACATCATAAAATAAAGACAGAAATTGCTGGGAAAACTCAGCAGGTCTGGCAGCATCTGTGGAGACAAATCAGAATTAACGTTTTGGGTTATCATGAAATTGTTAGTTTCAATTTGTATTTTTTTTAAGAAACAAATGTAAGTTCGATATGCAAGATCTATTTAATCTTCATGGAAGTGTCAACCTTTGTGTATTAGGTACAACATCACGATGCTGTAACTGGGACAGAATCTCCAAAAGTGAGAGATATGTACATGCATCACCTATTACAAGGGATTTGGGCTGTGAAATTAGTGATGGCTGCTATATTTCAAGAAACCCAGAACACTCCAAAGGATAAATTGGACTTTCCACTTCCCTATACTCAGGACACCAAAAGTACAGGTGCTGATAATTTCTTAAATGTCTTGAATATTACAAACAGTTTTGTGTTAAGTGGACAGAGCAGGTAGGCCAAGTAAGTTGACAAGAAATGCAGTCATTATTTTCAATTCAAATTCTTTTGGCACAGTAAGGCAAGAATTGACTTTTCACATGTCACCAGTTTGGCTATTGGAAAATAGTGAAGTTTGAGGCAAACTTTGCAGTGATTTCTCTCTGCTGATTTTTGGTTGTAGCCTAATTTTATTGCCTTTTGAATGGTGTTTGAGTTATTAATTTTATGTGTTCCAAATTCAGTGTCTCTTCACCACCTCCTTTTCCCTTTTGCACAGTGCGTGTTGACATTTCCCTACCCCACTGACAGGTTTCTCCCAAAACACAGATTCTAGGTTATAAAGTGTAGCACAATTTGATGCCTAACAGGGAAGGTAGGACTGATAGCGAGAAGTGAGTCAGAGACTGGAGCATAATGATTATTGTCAGTTTGGGCTTGATCATCTGCCTTAATACCATAACTGTGAAATTGCAATGACTCTGGTAATGACTACTGATTAAAACCTGCACGAGAGTCATGTACAAATAGGTCTGCCTCTTAATGTGGATTTTGACTATGCAAAAGCGAGGTTGCTGTTACTGTAGATTCTTCCCAAGCAATTGTGGGTAAGATTTTAAGATCTCAAAATGAATTGACCAAAATTCCATTTGGATGCATATCCGTGTCTGAATCTTGATGCGATGCTGTAACATTATTGTGAATCCTGTCAAATCACTTAACCTTAGAAAACAGCTCTAGCTAATAAAACAGCTGTGGAAAAGGATAATGGACAAGTGCAAGAAATTGTGATTAGCGCACTTTTACGGTCGTTATGTTGGTGCAGATTTGATGGGCTGAAGGACCTTTTCTGTGCTTTATGGACCTATGAACCAATGAATCTATTGCAGAAACTTGCAGCCTTATCATTTTTTTAAAGAATTGATGGGATTTGGAGAAGTCAATTGATAAAAAATCATCAACAAATGTAACATTGGTTAAAATGAACTTTAAATGCTGAAGAATTGTTTGCGAGTGCATGTGCAAACAAAGCTTAAAATAAAAAAAAATTCACAGTGAATCGGCTTTTAAAACAAAACAGAGATTTTTTTATCAGTACTTCCAAAGTTTGAAGTCTTGATGAGAGAGAGCTGTTAATACTCTTTCTCACTGTGTGGTGCCCCATTTTTAAATTAATCCATTGCAATGGGTTATAACTATCTAAAAGCAATGAAACTAGTTTATGAAAATAAAACACATCTACAGATTTTGGAGACAAAACTGAAAATGTTTGAAAGCGACAACAAATCAGTCATCACTTTTCTGAAGAGGGACAAATGACATTTTGAGCAGGATCTCTTTAAAAACATCTCTGAAGAGGTCAAAGCAGGAGCAATGTCCAAAACTGACCATTAATCTGTCTTCTCTCTCCCTGGATGTTCACAGATCTAGTGTTCTTCCAGAATAATTTTCTGGTTATGCTTAAACTAGTCAATGGAAATCATCCATTGCCCTTAGGTAAAGTGGTTTATTGCAATCGTGTAAAAGTCATTGTTTAGTTATCTTTCAAGTCAGCTGTTCGGCCCTGACCTTGAGAGAGGTTCCCCAATCTATTATGGTTCCAGCCAAGATATCATAAACTGTTAAACTTCCAGGTGAGGAGGATTGATTTAGCTGCCCTTCTTTATTCACCCACCCCCTCAATTGATTGCAACAAGGTTAATTTGAAAAAGGCCCCATTCCCTTGTAGATACCTTTCTCTGAACCCCGATATTTGAAAAGGAGCCAATTTAACCAGGCTTTCTTAAATTAACCAAAACTTTATTAATTACTATGCACAAGCAAACAATACTAACATCACACACGTACACACAGATTAGAAATAAGAGGTGAGCCCAAAAAGGTAAAAGTTTTAAAAATACAAGTATCTGATCGGCTCTGAATGGTTCCCAAAGAGCAAATAGTTAAATGTTACACCTGCTGCATTAGATGTTACCGATAGCTTTGACATTGGCAGTAGAATGGTCGGTTTTTGACTTTCTTGGTTTTGTAATCTGATTGAATTCCCTTGTCGTGATGTCTTTTTCTTTAACTAGTTTGCAGCACTATGAGAAAGAGAATCTTCCTTGCTTTACCTGCAGTGTAGGCATGTTGGGGGATAATTCTTTGACTGTGACGTTCACAGCATGTTAATGTCTGAACCCAGGCAGGTACCTATGAGAATGCTGAGTTCCACTAGTCCACCCCAGTGGAATTGAAACTGAAACTGGCTTTTTAGTCAACAAAGCAGACCAAGCAGCATCAGAGGAGCAGGAAGGCTGACGTTTCGGGCCTAGGCTTGGCCTGCTGTGTTCATCCAGCTCTACACCTTGTTATCTCAGATTCTCCAGCATCTGCAGTTCCTACTATCTCTGGCTTTTTAGTCCCTGTCTTTGTGTATTTCTGACATGTCTGCAGGAGGTGACTTTCTGCTAAGAGTGGAGAGTTAGTTGGACCCCCACCTTGTTAGCCCTTCTTGTTAAGTTTCTCCCTGTTTGAAGTATCCTGACCATTATTGGCTTCATACAGGACTTTGCCAGACAAGCAGTGAATACAAATCCACAGTTTTTCTGTAGCAGTCCTCCTTTTAAAGATTATAAGCAATCTCCAGATTATGAAATGGTTCCATTCCGAAATCTGTTCGCAATCAGTTTGTATGCAAGTTGGAACACCATGTGGGACAATGTAAAACAGCCATTCTTAAGTACAGGAAATATTTGCGTGTTGTGTCTTTAAAATTACACCCCTGTAGGGGATCGTGTTCGGAAATATAAGTGTTTGCAACAAACACAGAAACTGCTGGAAAAGCTCAGCCGGTCTGGCAGCATCTGTGAGGAGAAATCAGAGTTAATGTTTCAGGTCCAGTGACCCTTCCTCAGAACTGATGATAGCTAGGCAAATGTCAGTCTTTATGCAGAAGACAGGGTGGGGGGAGGGAGTAAGGAGTAAACAATAGTTGATTGGGGATAGAGCCCAAAGAGAGAGAAGAACCGCTGGACAGACACAGGAGTGGATAACAATCTGGCTGGGAGTGTGAATAGTTATTAATGGGGACTGTTAGTGGCTAACAATACGATTCACCCTCCTAGCCACATCATTATCCACTCCTTTGTCTGTCCAACTGCTCTTCTGCCACTTTGGGCTCTATCCCCATCTATCATTTATTCCGTACTCCCTCCCCCAACCCTATTTTCTGCATAAAAGCTGACATTTTCTTAGCTACCATCAGTGTGAGGAAGGGTCACTGGACCCAAAATGTCAACTCTGATTTCTCTTCACAGATGCTGCCAGACCTTACTGAGCTTTTCCAGCAATTTCTGTGTTTGTTTCTGCTTTACAGCATCTGCAGTTCTTTTGGTTTTTACAAGTGTTTGCAAGTTGTGTATTCATAAATCAGATACCCCCTGCTATGAATTAAAAAGTAAAAAAAATTTTAAAAAAATGCTTTGGAATTCTCATCCATTGTCTTAACGCAACAAAGCTATTCTATTAGGTTTTACTTTAGAAGCATGCACTTCAGAACTTCACGAAAGCATTTTTACTGTTTTTGCTCCAGTAGGTTCAGTGTTACTTTCAATGTACTGTTTTTTGTTGTCATAATTCAAGTTGATGGCTCCGTAGTTTTCATCAGGGAATGGTCCTTTTATGGACATAATCCTGATAGCGTTATAATTTTCTTTTGGTTCATGTGATCATTTTGTAAATCTGCACGGAACTTATGTAAATATGCATGCTCACTCTTGTGTTCAGTATCAGACAGTGTTCATTTTGTTCCTCTTTTAAAAGAGGATCACCTTTTGCAGATTACTGTCTACAATCCTCTTGGATGGAACATCACCACAGTTATCAACGTCTCTGTTGCCTATTCAGTAGTCAGTGTTTATGATGATTCAGGAAACACTGTGCCATCACAGGTATTTGACTCGATTTGTTTTGTGTTGAAATTATTGACAAGCTAATGCACTAAATAGAATTAAATAACTGTGCGGATTCTGGTGGGCTAAATATTTAGGCCTCAAGAAGGCAGGCTGGTATCCCAAGTCGAGCTGTTGATTGATTTGCCTCTTCTGTCTTGAACTCAAGCCATTTACCCAGACATGGAATAAGGGAGCCAGTAGCAAGGAACTCGAGCGAACTGACTCTCTGTTCTCAATGACCTCGAAATTGATCAATCTATTTTGAGTGCTGCTCGGAATGTTGTGGTGCCAAGATGGGGGACATGACTTGTGAGCACATTGTCTCTGTGATGTTAGTTAAGGACAAATGAGGTATCTGTTACCCAAGTCTAAGCAAAAGACTTTGATCCTGCCCCTTTTGAAGTTAGGGGCTGAATGCCTAATTGAAACTCACTTCTGTAACTTTGGCTTGCCCTAACACTCAAGGAAATCAAGATTGAAACACAAATGTGATTTATTTGAATGTTGATCCAGGAGGAGAAAGGGATTCTCCTCCCAGCCCCATGTTTATGGATTTGATCAGCATCCTTGTGACCACCCTGCCATCCTTAACACAGGGCCTGATCCTCAGCCCATCCCCAAGAACACTCATGGCACGTCACTTTCTCCTATGATCTTGTTGATGCTTTGTGGGCACTATTGAAATAATGCTGAGGCCTCAGACCCTCAACAATCTGTGCTACAGTCATCCACAACACTCTCCACTCTCCACCTCGTGCCCCAAAGTGATTGAGGTCTGAATTCTGATTCAGTTTCAATCAAATCTGAGCTGAGCTGAATGTGTGGAAAGGACAAATCAGAAAGGTAATTCATACCTGGTTGTCCTTAATACTGGCCAGAGGGAATTTAGATCTATCCTTGGAAGATGCTGTGCATTTGCAGTCTCTGAAACAGAGTTGGTCAACTCAAGTAGCCTGAAGCAGAGATAAATCACAAGAAGTAAAACCCCACAGCAGATATACCTTTAAATTCTATATTAAGACAAAACCTTAGGATAAATCATTGAACAGTTCTACTTCAGCTGTATTAAACCTAATGTTCCCAAATTCAGTGTACAATAATAAAATTGTGTTAATTTTACTTTTCTGCTGCAGATCCAGAAATCAGTTTCTCACAGCACTTTCGACTTGTATGTTCTTGTAAGACTAAATGCACTCAGCTACCGAAGGTATGTGGTCAAAAATGAAAAGTTGACTTGCACCAAGGAATCAGATGGTCCGTGCTCAAAAAATCCTACTTCGTTCAGAGGGAGAGTGCGAACATTTGGCAGAAAACCAGTGAGCAAATCAAAAAATCAGGGGCGTAGACTACTTCAGTTGATGAATGACTGCTATGTACTGATGCTGAATGAAGACACAAATTTACTGTACAGCATCACTGACAGGTGAGAATCCTGGTAAATAGCTCCTGCGTGTGAACCAAGTTTAAGAATAAAAGCAGTAGCTTGCTTTGTTTAAATTCCAGTATGGTTTTGAATAGCAACATATTTCAGAATCTGATTTGGTAATGGAACTTCGTTTTGAAAAGATTCTTTTTAAGATGGACCAATGTTTGAGACAGTTAATATGTTCGACACTGTTGCCTTGGCTCACCTCGTTGATTAAAGCTATTATGTTGTATTTGTTGGTCATTTGTACTCTGCCTGTATAGGGAATAACGTAGGTAACACAGCAGCACCTATATTATGTAAAACCCCTTTCTATGATGCATTTTAGAAAGAAACGGATATCTAAGCAAAAATTGTGAGTATTATCCAGTAGATTTTGTTTGTTCCTTTGTTTAATGTCATTTATCTCTGAGCTACTTTCTTGTGGAGGTGTGAACTCCTTTAATGTGGTTATCCTCCAGAATCTGCCTGGGACGACTATTCTTCACATTTTCCATGCCTTTTACTCCTGGCCTGGCTGAGACCAGCTGACTCAACATAGATCAAGTCTGAAGCAAGTGACTTCCTGACCTATTGGTTCAACTACTCCTTGTCTTAACCAGTCCAATCAAGAATGCACAGACAGTCTTAGTCTGAGTAATACATTCATACGTCCTTTTCCATTCCTGACTGAGTGTGAGTTTTCTGGTGAAGCAAATGGCCCTTTGTGAAAAGTCACTTGCTTGCTTGGGAGAAATTAAAGTTGAAAGCAGTTCTTCTGATTGTATTGAAACTGCTTTGAGTATGATTTGATTCTCCATTGAGAAATCCATGTAAACACGTTCAAATATGTCTTTGACTGTCAATGTTCAGTATAAACTAATATCAGTTTTTTAACTTTGTGCCTTACTCTTGTGGAATAGATGATTGGAAAACTTGAGGAAGGAACCATTCGGTGTCGGAAAATCCTTGTGGTGGATCTTCCAGTTGTCATAACAATAGTTTCTCTTTGTTGTAAATGACAGATCCTCCCAGAAGACTGTCAAGATAAAGCAGGAATTCTTGGAGTACCATGCTAATGGAGATGTTAAACAGGGCCCAATCTCCGATAATTATGTATTCACACCAAAAGGTTTGCCCATGCTGGTGTCAAAGTCAATTGGAATGGAAATAGTCACAGGAAAACTAGTAACTGAAATCAGGCAGTACTTCTACAGGTAATGTACACATAACCTGTTAAGGACCTCCTTGTTTGCTGAGTTCTCATTAAAATTGGGATGGTTATAAGGGAAAAATAAAATAAACCTGCCATTGTATATAAACTATTTTTTTTATTGTGGTGCGTTGAAGGGTAAAGTGATATCCAGGGCACCAAGAGAACTCTTCTTCTTGTTACTCTTGAACAATGTGATACAATGTGATCTCTTGTACCTGCTGGAGAAGCTAGACTAGCTCTGCTTGAAAGTCTAATCTAAAAATATTTCCAACAAAACAATATTCCCTCAGTACAACACCAAAGTGTTAGCTTGGATTCCGCATTCCTGGAGTGGAACTGCGGCACACAATATTTGGACTCAGTAAAACACTATGGATGTTCATTTCACCCCTGTCATTAGATACGCATCAAGAAATATTACATGCCTGTGAGAAGTAATGTTCCGTAGCTGAAAAAGATCACAAAAAAGTACAAAGCTAAACCTTTGTGCTTCTCTTCTTCTTTTAAGATGAATGAGTAGCAAAGATAATCTTTGCTTAAGACATGCCTGCCCACAGTGGCGTAGGAATGGCTTTCACTGTTCCTCTCGTGTACATGTTTTTCTGAAGAAGGGGCCTGATCCAAAATGTCAACTTTCCTGCTCCTCTGATGCTGCCTGGCCTGCTGTGTTTCTCCAGCTCCACACTGTGTTATCTCCTCTCATGTACAGATGTCTTTCATGGGTTTGTCACTGGGGCCCGGTGGACATCAGGATTCCAGTGTAGGGGATCTGGCATCTGTTAGCAAGAAAATCCACTGTCTACTTTTCAACCAGTTGAAATATCAACTCTGACAGATTCAAAATCAGGAAATAGATATTAGATTTCAACTGCATACCGGAAGTGAAGTAAAGAGTGACAAATACAGGTAGCATTAAAGGAGACAGATGAAAGAGACGCCAGGATAATTTAAAAAATTGAACTGTTTTTAGTTTTTTATTTACAAATCTGTGATATTAATTTCCTTCTAAAGGAATGAAACCCCATATTTGTAAAGTTAATTTTTCAGACCAGAAAGGTTATTCAATAACTATCACAATCGCGGACGACACAGTAGCTCAGTGGTTAGTATCCTCGGGTGACTGTCTGTGTGGAGTTTGCACATTCTCCTGGTGTCTGTATAGGTTTCCTTTGGCTGCTCTGGTTTCCTCCCACAGTCCAAAGATGTGCAGGTTAGGTGGATTGACCATGCTAAATTACCCACAGCGTCCAGGGATGTGCTGGCTGGGGGAATTAACCAAGAGAAATGTAGGGTTACAGGGATAGGGTTGGGGGGTGGGTCTGGGTGGGATGCTGTTCGGAGGATCGGTGTGGACTCGATGGGCTGAATTACCTGCTTCCACACTGTAGGGATTCTATGATCACTTCTACACTTCTTCAAAACTCACTTATTTCTAAATGCACAAGGCTGAACCTTTTCAGCCTTTCCTGGTGCAGAGTGAATCATAAGTATCCCAAGTTCAGGCCATTATAATGATTTCTCGGCTAATTCTATCAATGTAGACCAAAATGGTGTGCCCATTGGAGGAACAGACTATATCTAACAACAGCTTATCAATTTCCACATTTAGTACCTAGGTCTGTCGTAATTTGTTGTCAACTTTACATTGGCACAGCAGTGACTGCTAACAACCTCATCATTATTATAGAAAGCCAGTGCTGCTGTTTTGATGTGCACTGGATACCAAGACTACAAGGCTTTGGGCCAAGTGCTGGAAAATGGGATTAGAATAATTAGGCAGATTAGAATAGTTAGACTGTCGCAGACTGTAGACGTCTTTGATTCTATGACTCTATTAAAAAAAACTAGGGCAAAAGAAATTAACGTTTTACGATTTTAGAACGTTAATTGTATTCCTTTTTAAAATTACATCCCTGATACAAACTCCAAAACTTAATAATCTCTTTAGATCTGAGCTGAATTGATTGGCATATTTTGCATCTTGTTTTGTTTTATATGGATTTCTGTATATTTGCAAATTCCTGCTTTTCAGTGACAGTAATTTTTGTTGACAGTCAAATTTTAAATATTGCCAGAATGGAACTCCCAAGGTGTTGTATGTTCTACTAAACACATGAAATTTTATCTATTTTAAACAGTAACACTTCTGCTAATGAACAGGATTACCAATATGCAATATTCACAAGGATCTATCGTGTACTTAATGGCTATGATGCATCAATGCTATGCAATAGAATTGAGCAGGAGTATAGTGTAGGACCATTGGACCTGAACAGGGAAGCGATCTTGAGCATGACTACAGATATGAAAACTGACAGGACCATTTACACAGACAGTAATGGCTACCAGATGATGAGGAGAGTGTACAAGTCGTACAGCAACAATACTCTGGCTCGAGTAGGTATTCTACACTGTTGTGTTGAACTTATATGCAGGGTGAGGCGGGGTGGGTGGGGAGATTCTGAGATCTTACCGTTTGTAGAAAATTATGTCACAGCCCATTTTGACTTTTGTTGGTCTGGGAAAGTATTGAAGATGAAGCAATTTCTCTATTTGTTGCTGGTTTTATTGTATTTTTCCTCTTTTATGGTTCTCCCTCTCTCCAAATATTATTATACATCAATGCTCATAATCCGCCACTGCACTCCATGTGATTTTTGCCTTTCTCCTCAAGCAAACACCAGCTGTGTTGGTGTTGCTGGCACAACATTTGATAGTGGTTTGAGCTGTAGCTTGTGTTGCAATTCTTGAGGGGTATGACACTCTATCTTTATTTCTCCTGGAAAACTCTAGCACCTATTTGTGAATTCAGTTCATGATCTCACTTTGACAACATTCCAGCAAATCTGGGCTCTTTTTCTTGGTATCTGAAATTCCCCCACTTTTCCCTGTGTATGACATTTGTTGCAATACGCTGCAATAGCCACCTTTGCTTGTGATACTTTTGAGAGCATATGGTAGTGGCATGAAGTTCCTAATCTCATTTAAAGTGTAGTTTAAAAAATTTATATGTGCATACTCTGGTTTCAATCCAACAGTGTTTAGAGTTTCTGATACATTTCCATAAAGGACACGGAACTAGCTTTGGAATCCCTGCATGGAAAGCCATCTGTCCATGGCATTTTGTGATAATTCAGCTGTAAAAGAAACATTGTGAATTATCTCCTCAACTTGTTTCGATAGCCTGAGGTTGGTTGGAGAGGAATTTTCTGGCGTACGTTTCCCTTACTAAGTCTATTCATTTCCAAATACTCGGCAGATGAAGTAACTGAGAGGCTGAAAGCAATGAGAGGAATTGGGGTTTGTGGGAGTTGGGTGAAGGGGGAGTGAGAGACAACGTTTTTAGTGAAATGTTTAAACTATCCTGGTGTGGACAGATTTGCTAGAGCAGTGTGACATTTTTTAGTTGCTGTCAATTTCATGTGTTCATAAATCAGGTGCAGAAATGTAATTCTTTTAAAAGAAATATGGGAATGATATCAAATGAAAACTCAAGAATATTTGAAACACTCTGTCAGCATCTGAAAATGAGAGGTTGAAGTGGGTCTACATTAGAGCTGATGAGTTTTGAATCAAAGGTCACAGCCAAATCTCCAATGTTTCTATTTCAGATAGTGTCTGACCTGAGATGTATTTCCAGCAATTTGTTTTGTTTTTACTGAAGAAGGAATAGATATTATGATGTGCTTAACCTCTTGGCTTGCAATTGAGTCATAGCATTCTTCAGCTTTGCTGAACAATAAGAGTGGATTCTCTGTTGCCATGTTACAGATCAAATGGTCAGAGTAAAACATTGCCTGACAGCTGTTGCGCTCCATCACACCGCATGTTGCCATCAGATGATTTGATATGGACTTGGGGATTATTATTCAAAGTTGCGTAGTATTTCGTTGACTTAACAGTTTTATTTATAATGTGTAAATTGATTATAATTGCCTTTAGAAACCTCAAGTGTTTTGGAGGTAAACTATTTTAAGACTGTAAGAGACATTAATTCTTCAGTAGGCAGTGGCTATCCTAGCTTTTTACAAAATAAATAGCAGCCGCTTTTTTCTGCGATGTCACAGTCAGAAGAGAATTAAAATTGATAAGCTTCTTCTTTGTGCTTTTCAGAATTACTACCCTCTTGTAAGGACTGCTTATATTGAAGAAAGTGACGCAAGGCTTATCATATTATCTGAGAGAGCACATGGCATTTGCAGTCAAGCTGATGGGCAATTGGAGGTGAGAAGTTTTTCCAGTTTAATGCAATTTTTTTTGGTAAAGATTCTATGAATGGGATGATAATACTATGTTTGTACCTCATGAAAATATATTATATTACTTGAAACATCTTGAAAGAGGAAGTCTCACTATGATCAGGACCCACTTTTAAAGGTCATTCACTTAAAATGAAGTGAATTAGAGTGTCTTTTTAGTGTTAGATTTAATTTTGTTTTGTTCTTACAGTGAGACATTTATATCTGAAGGGACTGAATTAACTTTCAAAGTACCTCTTCATTAGTGATATCAGTTAATTACCATCCTGTTCTTTAATTTTGACAAAGTCTGTAAGCTGTTGAAACCAATGGCAAGATTTTGCCTTTTGTTCAGGTCCTGGATTTGAGGTCAAACAGGAGTCTCAACCCTTCACTATGGGGAAATAGTCACTTAGCAGTGATGTTAAGACTGTTCATTCCATCCAATGGAATAAAGCAGGCTGGGGTCAGTGGGAGCTCATCAAAGTAGAGGACATGAGGATGGGTGGTTTGCATCAACTTGGTCATTCATTCAAATGAAGAGCACTGGTGGAACAGTAACATTGCAATAAACGTTCAATTCCATCCCTCTTGTGCATTAAGATGCTTTCCTCCCGGTTTCTCATAATCTACATGCTGCTACCTTTGTGGTTTCAGTTGAGTTGGAGGCAGGTTACTTGTTTTCTTGCTCTGGCACATCAAATGGCCTCTGGATTCTGAAGCTAGGGCCCACCTGACCCATCGGTCATGAGGGCAGCAGGTGGCATGTGCGCCCCTATCGCGCCCCTATCACAGAGGGTGACAATAATGGGCAGGAAGTTGGGGCACTTTGAGAGGACACTCGATGGGTCGAATGGCCTGCTTCCACACTGTCGGGATTCTGTGACCTCTTTTTCCACCTTCCATGTCGGGGCCCAGTTGCACTTCTGTGCCAACAAAGAACAAGAGACCATTGGATATGTGAGTTTAGCTATAAAGGCAAGGTTTGGATTGGTGTTCTGTAAGCCGACAGCACCACTGGTGTAGTAATCTGGTGTGTCTGACTCTCCCCAAATTACATTTCATTGGTGATCAATGAAAAATATTGATTTGTGGTATGTACAAATCTTATGCTATGTAAGTTGTATTTATAGGCAAGGTAACCGTCTAGTCAATTTTTTTCATTATGTTATGTGTTTGCATGGCTATCTCCCACAAACATGTTTCCCTTTCATAATAAAACTTGATTTTCAATTTCATTGAAATTTCTAATTTTGGGCCTTTGTTTTTGGTGTCCATATCAGTTGCTTTCTCCATCTCATTTTGTAATCATGAATGTCTGCTTGTCCCCTGATGATAACTGTTGTAGGTGATGCTTCATCGAAGATTATGGAACAACAAAGAATGGAATCTGGGCTACAACCTTACACTGAATGACACCTCCGTAGTGCGGCCACTTTTCTGGCTGATGTTGGGGTCAAAGTCAACAACTTCATCTTTATATCAGAGTGGGATGGCACTCGAGTTCAGACCTGTTGTTATGTATGGTCCTGTCTCAGGTATGTGCTTCATAGCCTATAGACAGGTCAAAAATTGAAAAACTTTTTTAGGGCCTTTGCTAACAGTGGCTAAGGTGAGCCAGCTGTTGTAGTATTCTGTTCTTCCCAGCAGAAAAGCAGCATCATTTACAGAACTTGCACCATGGTAACTTGTGGCAGAGTGCTGGGGTGGTATAGGAAATTCATTCACTCCATTTTGCACAAGGTAATTGACCTGAAAGGGTTAACTCAAAAGCTTTGGAATAGCTCCACCCACTCAAGAGAGGATCTCCTCAGTTTAAGGTTGTCCTATTTTGCTGTTAGCCAGTTCTACAGTCTAAAGCCATCCATCATCTCTGAGTACGACGCATTGTCATCTCCTTAGTATTAAAGTGGTTAACCAGTCTTGAGCTGCTGTAACCTGTAATCTTGCTGTTATGTAATAAATTACTCCTTGTTACTCGATTACCAGCCTCTTGTACCAAAGACTAATCATTCACCACTTCATACTGGTAAATCCTGGAAATTCGTGCAGGGAAGGATTGGTGTTAGGAAGTCTACCCAAAGAACATCTCACGCCAACCATGTGCCAGCCTCAGGCATTTCTTACAACACTGTTGTGGGAAGGCTGCCAGATTTGATAGGAAAAATCAGGGAGGGACATGGAGGATAGGGAGTGGTTGGGACAAACTATTCAAGCTGTGAGTGGGAAACACAACAGCCCGTGTACTTTTGAGTTAATATGAGAGCAGGGGTAACAGTGCACTGTTTCTGCATTAACTCAGAAACTTGCTTTAAAAGTTGACTATATCAGTGTGGATGACCCTCCTCTTGTCAGCAGTGGGAAACTGTGCAGATCAGAGAGATCCCCAGATGCAATCCCTTACTCTGAGTTGTGATGTGGAGGTGCCGATGTTGGACTGGGGTGAACAAGGTCAAAAATCACAAGACACCAGGTTATAGTCCAACAGGCTTATTTGAAAACACAAGCTTTTGGAGTCTAGCTCCTTCTTCAGGTGTCAGTGAGAGAGTTGGCATCAGGCACAGAATTTACTAGCAAAAGATCAAAGGGTCATAGAACTGATGTGAATGTATTGAACAAACCTAAGATGGCTGTTAAATCTTTAATCAGTTAGGAATGATTAATACGTAAATCTCAGAATTTCTTTCAAGTCACTGCCCCAAGATAACGAAAGGTTTTATCAGTATACCAGAGGTGATATCTCAAGTCAGACAATGCATTTTAGGTGTGAGGCCTTGTTTAGAATCTGGCTGTGTATTAACTTGGAGTCAGACTGCTTTTATTTCAAAAATAGAAATTTATAAAATGCCACATTGACTATCTACAAATTGTGTGCTTTTTGAACAAAATAGAATGTATCTGCAATTACAAATCTCCAAATATAAATTCATCCCATAGATTTATGTGTGTAATACACAGCCAGATTCCAAACAAGGTCTCGCACTAAAATGCATTGTCTGACCTGAGACGTGTCATATTTGATCTTGTTCACACTGAGCTGGGTTAAGTAGCACTTACGGGGCTACTATTGACCTTCATGCTCAGGAGAGAAAATTAAACTTTCTACTTCTGATTACAATGTGCTAGAATTGCTTGTAAATATTGCATAAAAGCATGATCAAACTCAGCTATAAGACTCCTGCATTTGAATAGCCTTGTGACACTAATGTAACTGCAGCCCAGCATATTTAAAATCCAAGCTGTATCTGAGAACATCCGCTTTTACTACACACTGCAGTTATTCACATTATGTGGCTTTATGATGATGGTGTCTGTGTAATCAGCCTTGATCTATAAATTGTAATTTGCTGTTTGGTACTGATTGAGCAGTTACCATATATTTATGTTTTGTTTATTCATTTGTCTCTTTGAGCTCTAGTTGTAAGTTTATTTATATACTTAGCTTAAGTTTGTTTTAAGTATTGGAGCAACTGTTTTAAACTTAATCCCATCATAATGATTGATTTGTACTGTGGTTGAGCAAATTTGTTTGCAGATGATATAAAATCTGATCTTTGAAAACTGAATAAGCTTTTTCTCTCTAGGAGTTTTTTGTTTTAAATTTGGAAATGTTGTTTGCATTACCCAGCATTGACTCAAATAATATGTCAGTTTTAAGGGATAATGAATGAGGACTTCCCACTTCCCAGTCTGTATTTGTAATTTTTAATTGATTTAATATCTGGGACTGGTCAATAGACAAGCAAAAAAAAACACTGTTCAATGTTTCTTTCTGTGATTTTATTCTACTAACCATTTTTTTATGATGTATGTTGGACAGGGAAGAATGCATTTGTTCCGTCACACAATTCACAGGGTAACCGTTCAGTGAATTCTGTCTTTCTCCCACCCAATCTCCATCTCCTAACACTTTGCCTGCCTGGTTGGCGATATAATTCAAACCACACTGCACATTTGCAAAATATCATCCAAGGTAAGCCATTATAGATGCCTACTCTATTGATGTTATCTTGGCCAGACGTGTTTATAGAAGTTAACTTTAGCACCTGAAGTGTGAGATGGAAGTGTTTGCAAAAGGTGTGTACTGCGATTCTCACCCTTCTGTTTGCTAACCACAGTGAAGTCTCAATCTGTAATGCATAAATGTGATGCCTGCACAAACAGCCAGAGGAATGATTGACTGGGTTTACAGTCTGCTACTTGGACTGTCATCTGCAATCTGAAAGCTTGTGTTTTCAAATTAACATGTTGGACTGGTGTTGTGTGACTTCTGACCTTGTTCACCCCAGTCCAAGACCAGCAGCTCCACGTCATGAAAACAATTGCAACGGTTAGATAAGCAAACTGGAGGAGTGACATTCTGAATATTGCTTTTTTTGCAAGCCTTAATCTTGGCTGTTACGTTGGAAGGAACACTGTGAGTGGTAACACGGTGCTTAATATTATCAGGCACAGTAGCCTTCAAATATAAGCAGCAAGCACTGGAGAAACTCAGGAGGTCAGGCAGCATCTGTGGAGAGAGAAGCAGAGGTAATATTTCAAGTCAAATATGTCTCATGTTCAAAACCGAAAGGAGCAGGGAAATGATGGTTTTTTATACTGTTGGCAAAGGTGGAGGAGGAGTTAGTGGAACAGATGGTGAGGATGCTCAGAGAAATGAAGATGTAAATACCAAAAAGTAGGTTGACTCTGCAGAGAGCAAAACTATGCAAGTGGATTGGGGGGAGGGGGAGTGGCAGGGTGTATAATCAAAATGGAGATCGTATTCAGGTTCTGATGTTGTGGAACTCATTGTTGAGTTCAGAAGGCAATAAAGTGTCTAAGAAGAAAATGAGGTGTGGTTCCTGCAGCTTGGGTTGAGCTTCACTGGAACATTACCTCAGGCCTGAGACAGAAATGTTGGCATGGCAGCAAGGTGCCTTAGTAAAATGGCAAGCAACTGGAAGGTCAGTGTCATTCTTACAGACAGAGTGGAGGTCTGCAAAGCAATCACCCAGTCTATGTTTGGTTCCACCAGTGTAGGGAAGACTGCATTGTGAATAGCAAAAACAGTAGACTAGATTGACAAAAGTACAATAAAACACTGCTTCACTTGTAGGGTGTATTTTTTCTTATTCATTCATGGGATGAAGGCACTGATGGCTGGGCCAGCATTTACTGCCCATCCCTAATTGCCCAGAGGGTACTTGAGTCAACTACATTGCTGTGTCTGAAGTGACGTGTAAGCCAGACCAGGTAAGGATGGCAGTTTCCTTCCCTAAAGGGCATTAGTGACCCAGATGGGTTTTTTTTCTGACAATCAAAAATGAATTTGTGGTCAACATTAGATTCTTAATTCCAGAACACTAACTGGGTCTCTCGATTAACAATTCAGCAATAATACCACTTGGCCATTGCCTCCCCTTGAGACTTTGGACAACGAGGAGACAAAAGGGCAAGTGTTACATTTCCTGCGATTGCATGGGAAGGGACTATAAGAGGGTTGAGGGAGTGTTTAGGAGTGGACTTGGGTGTTGCAGAGGGAACTGTCTCTGTGGAATGCTGACAGTGGAGAAGAGGGCAAGATGTGTTTGGTGGTGGCATCTTGCTGGAGGTGGCTGATTGTTTGAATGCGGAGACTGGTGAGGTGGAAAGTGAGGATAAGGGGAGCTCTATGTTGTGGGAAGGACAGGTCCTGAGTGACCCATTACAAAACCAAGCAATAAACCGTTCATTGGGCAGAATCGGGTATGGCCAACTAGCGAACCCTGAGGACCAAGTGTGCTCTGAATGTTACTCTCTTAGAGAATGCTGGCTTTCCTGGCACAATTGGATACACAGGAAATGGATTTCATCGCATTCTCCACCTGGTCAGATTCTGCTGGCTATGTTTGGAACTTGTTTTCATGGACAGAAACTATTATCTTTATTGAAAGTGGAAGGAACAAAAAAAAAGAGGCAGACTATTTATGTGCTGCTTCAATGTTTTTCATACTCATCTCATTTTCATTATCTTATAGACCAGTTAATGCTGGCTTGACTGTTCTGTTTTTCTGTTGTAGACAAATAAACTTGGGCACCACAAATTAGATGCATTCGCTGTGCTTAACAAAATGCAATGAGATGCCCAACTTAGGAATAGGTTTGCATTTTGATAATTTGCCACAGATGTTCAATTGGTTTAAACCTCTGCTTCAATCTCTGTCTTTGACACATTTTTTCTTGTTTTCAAGGTAAGTCTAAACAATCAAAGCCAGACTTTCGCCGTGTCCTACTGAGAATTATGCATTTGTATGAAGTTGGAGAAGACCCTGTTCTGTCCCAGCCTGTGACAGTCAACATAAAGGTTTGTTGGATGTGCCTGTTTTTAGCAGTTAATAATTTTTTTAAAAAGACTATACGGTAGTCCTGCTCAGTGTAAAGCACAAAAGGGTTAAGTCCTCAGAGTTGTGTTACCCTGTGGGATATGAATACACTGTTTTCATCTCGAAAACAGTTACAATGAATCAAAATAACCACAACCAAAATAAATTACCAACAAGATTCCATCACCTTTAAGGCAACTCAGAACCAATGCAAGTTATGTGTGAATTAACAGACAAATGAGAATTTAAATAAAATGGTACATTTTAGTTTCAGTAGTCAATGCTAAAGATGTGTCTGACACAACCTCAAACATTCACATCACACCCCCACCCAAATGTGGCACCTCACAACTACATAGTTCACAACATGCATTTCTATCTTTCATAACTTTTATGCTCAAGCTTCAGGAGTATGATTATCATCAGCAAATTATGCTTCTACAGACCCTTTCACCTTCGGGTCATGAAGCCCTGAGGGTTTGCACTCCAGAGTTCCAACAGACAAACCAATATACAACTCAGTTCATAAACTGGCCACTTCTGAGAATGTGACCAGCTCTTCAGCATCTCCAAACTATTCATACGGCTTTCCAGTTTTAGATTTGTAGCCAGTTTGCACGGTACCTCCAAAAGCTCTTGTTCCCTTTTCTGCTAACAGAAAAACTGACTTCTTCCTGTGAATGATCTGCTTCTTTTCACTACAGGAATCCTCTTTATGTCTCTGCCTGCCTTCTGTTGTTTTTCCATTTTTGATGATCACCAAAACCCTCCAATTCCTCTACTTGCAGCTCTCCACATAGTTTCTGTCTTAACTTCTTTCCCATTAACCCAGTTCCAGAGAAAGGCCTGAGATAACAAGGTGTAGAGCTGGATGAACACAGCAGGCCAAGCAGCATCAAAGGGCTATCAGGTCACATGGACTTCTCTTTACTTATCGAAGAAAATTACTGTTGATTTCTTTACAATTGATATGAACTCCTAAAAGACTGTTTCAAACATTCTTAAAACAATTTACATATTTCACAAAAGTATCGAAAGAATTTCAAGTGGTCCCTTATCTAACTGGTCAAAGGTCATAAGTATGAACACAAGATTTATGTGAAATTCTTTCCCTTTATTTCTCATTCTTTGCTTTCTTTTGCTTTGTACTTTCCTTTGTTCTTTCATTCTTTCCCGTTACTTTTGCACATTTGTCCAAATAAACTGCAAATTCCGATCAGAGAGCTTGGAGCAATTAAACATTCACACTCGAGATTGTTCTACAAATATAATCAACTTTAATTTAGCTGATTCCATTATTGTACATTGAATTTAAGTGAGGCTAATGAATCCGTAGTTGTTCTTTTTGAAATGAGAATCATGGTAGCCAATTTCCATTGTACTGGTATCTCTCTAGTGTATCAATTCCATCATGATCACTGTAAATGCATCTGCAGTCTCTGCAATTGCATCTCAGCCTTGTCAGATAAGTACTGTTCATCTGAAAATGTGTTCATTTAGAGGCCATTTCAGACTTCTTGCTCAATTTATGTTAACGCCATTAATTCTACTTTCAAATTATTGCTCTTTAGTCGCTCATCCCCCTCTAGTATAGGTGTCAGAATGTTGATCCTAATGAAGTAGTTCATCTTTCTTGCTGCAGAATTTTCCCTGTATTCTGACCTGTTGTTACACTTTAGACCTTAATAAATCATGAATTTCCTTAAACATTCCCCCATTTGTATGAAGTCACCTGTTCTTTTAAAATACGTTACAGAAAGCCTCATTGCTCCTAGTCCTTTGTTTTTCTGAATTCAAGATTGCAGTGGATCTTGTCATTTTTCTTTTTCCCCCAGTGGTGGCCTGACTTCCATGTGCTTTGTTTTCTGATTATATTATTCCCAAATCAACATTGATTGCCTCATGCAATTTGTGGACCTAATGGATCGTGGAAGAACTGGGACATCTGATATTGAATTGCTGTGGTATTTCCAAACTGCTTTGGCTAATTTTGAAGTTGTCTAATAAAACTACTCACGAGACAGTCTCGTTTATCCGTCCACAGGGCAAATTCTGTCCTGTTTTCTTCTGACCATGTGCTCAGTCTCATGACCCTCTGTTAACGTTGTATCTGTTGCATTAAGGATGTCTCACCAGAGTCAAGCAAATCTCCTCGTTGTCTATGACTTGCATATGTACACTACTTCCTTCCCTAACTCCTTTTAACTTTCTGTACAATTGTACATTTTTTGCCTCTCTCTGGAGCTGGCCATGGATCTGGGTTTGATAGTGTGTCATAGCTCCCTACTCCCACAACAAGCTCCAGTTCTAATATCTGATTTATAATGCTGTTATCCGCTTACTTCCTATGTTTCAGTCACACCTAGAACTAAAGTTGTATTATTAAATGGCTGTGTGTTAACCTCTGTGCTTGCATTGTCTCTGAGGAAGTCGTGCATAACATGCAAATATATACAGCATGAATGTAAGGATGGAATCAGTGTAGGGTAAATACATTTAAGCACTATTGCACAACTTTTCAGAGAAGTCAATGTTTTCAAATTCGTAAACCAAACTGAGCTTCAAAATCTTATTATTTGCAGACCAATTGTTTGACACTTGAGTTTGCCATTAATTAGATGCAATCTAAATTCTCTTCCTGCATGAAATCACTGACAGGATCTGCTGAAGGTGTTGGGAACAGTGGTATCTATTGAAGAACGCTCACTCACAGGAATCTGGGACATTAACACGCTCAAACGCTGGAGGTGGAAGACAACACAACAACACGATAGAGGTGAGTTACTTAGGCTTATTTATTTCAACATCCATTTAAATATTTTTCCAATTAAGGAACCGTGTCTTGCTGTGAATAGAGCATTCCTTTTGCTTTTGGTGCACAAATACCTATAGTTAAGCAGTCCCCAATCGGTTATGTTTGTGTGCAGGGACATGTTTGAGTCGATTCTCGGAAGTAAGTGTCAAAAGGTCTATATTTATAGTACGTTTAAACCTAACTGTAGTGTACTTCTTCCCATTATCTTTTGCCTTTTCTCAAGGTACACTACCCCTCTCAAATGTTTTAACACGTAGTTTTGATTCAAATCTATGAGCAGGCTGCAGCTTTCACAACTACTTACCTATTTATAGATGCTGGGACTTGCTTGTGAAGAGATAATAAATGATGCACAATATCCAGTTCAGATTGTTCTTTTCATTCCGTCCCTTCAATTTAACAATTAGCAATCGTCCACAAATGTTTCTTCACTGGCTCTCCTGTGTTATCAATAGTTGCATTTAGTGCATAATGTACATTGCTGCCAAAATAATCCTTCACATTTTAAAGAATAAAATCCTACAGATGCTGAAAATCTTAAATAAAAGTTGCATATCATAGAATAAATGATGCATATCATCAAGACTACTCCATCCAGAGCATGTATGATTCTTACTGTGGATTATCTGCCCAACACCTACCTGTTGAACTGCTTGGTGCAGAAATTTAAATTATGTTTATGAATAATTGGAGCAGCATTGTTTAATATCTTTAATTCTATCCCAGCACCCTGACCTTTGAATATATGCTACAAAGCAATGTTGTTACCTCACCAAAGTTAACCATGTCTGTTGAAAATCTGTTTACCATTCCCAGAGAAGGTTTTCAATTCCTGTTATTGCTCAGAATTTCTGAAAACTCTGTACTTTGTGCAAAAATAACTTTTCATCATTGGATCACTGCGTTTTACAGTTTTGAGAATGTAGAAATAGGAACTGGGTGGCTTGAGATGTCTCCAAAGTACATGTACCCACATTGATACAAAATAGCTTGTTTGCACTACCTTTGTGCAAACTATGTATTCTAGTAAGCTTTACCTAACATAAAACATTGACATCATCTAAAAGTTTTAATCAATTTCTCTTTGAAAATACTTTTGATGGGAAATTTCAGTTTGTTGTTTCTTAATCATTCAAAATGTATTTTGAAAAGGCTTTTGTCCAGAATACTTGATAACTATCATTTCTGTTTGTCAAGGGTGGCACAGTAGCTCAGTGGTTAGCACTGCTGACTCATAGTGCCAGGGACCCGGGTTCGATTGTCTGTGAGGAGTTTGCATTATCTCCCATGTTTGTGTGGGTTTCCTCTGGGTGCTCCAGTTTCTTCTAGCAGTCTAAAGATGTGCACGTTAGGTGGATTGGCCGTGCTAAATTACCCCATAGTGTCTAGGGATGTGCAGGCTTAGCTATATTAGCCATGGGGAATGCGGGGTTATGAAGATAGGGTGGGTGTTGGTGCAGACTTGATGGCTGAATGGCCTCTATTTGCACTTTAGGGATTCTATGACTCTAAAACAATATTTTAAATAAGAAAAAGCTTAAAAATTTCATAATGAAATGTTGAATTAAATATTTAGAGGCTTCCGCAAAATTGACCAAATGACTCATGGTTTTGCTGTTGTTCTAAAGATTTAAATGGCCTTTCTTTAATATACAACCCCTTTTGCAGCCTTGGAACTTTGTAAAGCATCTTCCAGCTAGTTAAATACTCGTGAAATGTGGTCACTGTTTTAGTATGGGAGAGACGCTCACAAATTTGAGCGCAGCAAACTACCACAAATAGTCTATTATGACAGTTGTCCTGTCCAGTTCCCTGTGTTTATATCTACTCATTCTAGAACTACATACTACATACCAGTTCTCCTCATTCCTCCAATATTCACTCACTCCTGCCCCGTCTCCTTTCTGACCTCCCCAGTTCTCTCCTTGCTTAAAACAATTCAACTGTGAGCCTGTACTGATGTGTGTTGCCTTCGTGCCATAGAGAACAGGCCACATGTATATTTGTGCTCCCTCCCTTCTGACACTGTCATAGTTCGGTCCTATTTTTTTGGTTTACTCTTTGTATGATGTTATGTCTTTCTCCGGTTCTGCACTTGGAACAGACAGTTCACACTTGAGATGTTAATGGCTCAATTAGAGTAATTTTAACATGGGATTTCTATCTTAACATTGGGACCTCAGACCAGTTCCTGTGAAATTAGCGAACTTTCCTGTGAAAGTAACATGAGAATCTGTCACAATTGAAAGAGATGGAGATAACTTGGAGAGATGTGGTTCTCAATGTCTCTTTGTGACTAATAGTGTATTCACAGTACCTGTGCTGAATGGTTAATTTATATATTTTGGAGCCATGTTTAACCCTCTAGAAGTGTGAAGGTTTGGTTGGTCAGATTATTGCAGTTTATATTTGTGCTACCATTTATGCTGAACTTCAGATAATGAAGATAATGGCCAGCAGCAGAAGTAGCAACAGAAAAGCATGAGACAGGAAAGTGTTACAAAACAGGGTAAATGTTCAATTAAATAATAGAAACCCAGCAGTATAAGATTGTAACAGAGCCACACATGCTCCCTTATGCAACAACACATCTTTATTCTTGTGTTTTCTAGCACTTCTATCTGGTGCCACCCTGTGGTTTTAGCTAAGCTGGAGGGAGATTATTCTTAATGACCTCCTCTGGGACAATAACTGTTCCTCTTTCAGCAACAACCCTCTCATGGGCCAGCTGCACATTGCTGCTAGCACCTCTATGAATGGCCAAGGTGGGGTATTTTTCAACCTATTTAAGATGACATGGCATGCACAAGCCAGTATTGAAGGCCTTCTTGTGCTGGCATAATATCCACTTTTGATTCTTGATTGAGTCATTTATTGTTGTCATATGTACCAAGGTACAGTGGAAAAGTATTGTTTTGCATGCTTTACAGGCAGATTGTACCAGATCGCACCAGAGCAGCAGAACAGAGTGCAGAATGCAGTGCTACAGCCACAGAGAAGGCGCAAAGAGGGAGATCAGCATTAACATTTGAGAGATCCATCCAGTTCTGCCACTCTTCCCATTGAAGAGCACATTATTGCAAAGGCCTGGAGCATCACGCCTCTTGTGCTTGAGACAGCTTCCTCCAGTCTTTTTGCAGTCGTGCACTTGAAATGCCTGCCTGTATATGACGCATTCTCAGCTGCTGCTGCTGTAGTATCCAGTTTGTAAAATGCTTGAAGGTATCATTGTGCATGTAATCTTATTTCAGATGTTGTTGACATCAAGTCAATATGCCTTAAGTGTCGTATGCTGTGCAGGTGCCTGGTATTTAATTCCATCACCAAGGAGCTGAAGGGCTCCCATCTTCGTGGCACACTGAGACTACTCTGATCTCCAGCCCCTTCTCCTCTTTGGGTGTTAATAATGATACCTGAGGAAGGACACCTAGCTGGTTCCCTGGCTCTGGCAAGAATTCTGGGCTCACTGCCCCTCTGCAGAGGGGGGTGGAAGGCACCACTATGAGTGAGAATAATGGCATATGTTTGTCTAATGGATAGAAAGTATTTGTTGAGGGTGACTTTGAAGGTTTGGAATAATATCACATGAGGAAAGTGTGTTAGTGTCAGTGGAGAATAGATTAACTGGGGTGTGAAAAAGTGCAGAGAGAAAGACGGATGACTGAACCGTCAAAGTTATATTAGTGTGAGCAGTGAATTGAATAGGCTTCGAAGGCACAGTGAAGAGCTGTGGTGAAACGCACTTCAGAATATGCCATTGTTCTCATTGCTTTCCTGTCTCTCTATGGTTATTGTAAATATATTGCAACAAGGAACATGATGGCACATTCCATAGGTTCTTCCCATCACTGTAAAATACTACCACCCTCCGTCTAGAAAGTGGCCTTTTTCTGTGTTGACTCCATTGTACTGGTACTTTTCCTCTTCACGATAACTACGAGGTTGGAGAACACCTTTCATAAGTATTGCAGTCGAGGTGAAGCCATGCAGGTCATCATCAAGTCTGCTAATAGTAATTGGACAGAAAAGTCAGGAGCAGACTGAAAGTGAAATGTCTGTGTTAAAAAGTCACTCCTTCCGGATGCTCTTCCAGTTCTGCTCTGTGCCATTGGCCAGTGTAAAAGTCAATGTGACCTGGGATGAAGTACCAGCAGCAGACATCATGAATAGTTTGTGAAATATCTGCACAGAATCCGGTATCCTGTCAGCAAGTCACCCTATGTTTCTGTGTGTGTTGTGCATGGGCTCTGACCATCCCGCTCCAAGCCAGACCCTAGACTGAGGAGACTTCATCAATCTCCTTTTTATGTCTGTCAGCTAGGGCTCCCTAATTGGCCCAGGTAACCACCCCAATCAAGTATTTCATAGTCAATGAGATCCATCTGGCCATGGTTCCAATCACTACAATTTGAATATTACAGCTGGCAACAGCCTCACTCTTGGTCATTGCAATGATGGTGAGCACCTTCTCCTCCATAGTTGGAAGAACAGAAAGCCAGGCCAGACCTCCAGCCACCGCTGGTAATGTATAACCTTGTCCTGCAGGGAAAAGGCAAGTACGTTAGTTAGTGCAGTGCAATGTGTTTGGGTGATATGGCTGTCATGGCTAAACAGTTAGCCACATGTCGACAGGAACATGTGAGATGTTTGTGTGAGGTTTACAACAGTGTTAAAGACTGTGACATGACAAGAACATAGGCTGCCACACTGGAAGTGCGGGAGAGATATCAGGAAGCCCTGCAGACAAATGTTGCACAGCACTGGTGGTCAGTGCTAGTAATCTGAGTACTTGAGTGCAGTCCCAGAAGAAGGTCAATTACCTCATAGAAAGGATCAAGGTCAGTGAACACACATTTAAAAGCCAATATCCCACCAACTGTATGACTAGCCTTAAGCACCCTGCTCAAAGTACACACTCATCTTTCAATTATGACTCATCCATAGCATTCACTGCTTCATCTCACACGAACATCTCATGTTCCTGTCCACGTGTGGCTAACAGTTTGACCATGACAGCCATATCACCCAAACACAGTGCACTGCACCCACTAACATACTTCCCTCCTTCTTGCAGGACATAATCCTCCTCCTCATATTGCATTTTCTCCTTAAGCACTATGCCAATTGGTGTTGTAAGCCTGCATGTCTCTTCCTTTCCATCCTGCCTTCACCACAGTCCTAGCACTGCACCCCTCTCTCTCTCTGGAAGTCCAGCAACTGCAGCCCATTTCAGACAGTGGTGGTACAGCAGGAAGTGAAAGAACAGGAAGACACTGATGAAAAATGATGGGGAGGTGATGGCCGAGTAATATTAACACTAGATTATTAATCTTGAGACCCAAATAATGTCTGGGGACCCGCATTTGAAACCCACCATGTCAGTATTGGGGTGGGTTTAGAGGAAAATGTGATGGTTGTGCAGCTCTCAGTACACTTACTGCAGGCTTCCTGTCAGGTTTATCAAGTTGTGGGAGCATGGAGTCCAGAGCCAATTTGGCAGTGGAATTTCCACACACTGTGAAGCCCACAGCCTTTCCAGCATGGATCAGGTGGCCAACTCCACAGGAACCCCCATAGACCCAGTTGCAATGAAGTATCGGATGGTCAATGATTCAGCTGTCATGGCAGCACAGGGAAAAGGCACTCAATATCTGGGTGCAGACTGAAGTAATGCAAGCTTAGATTGCTGCCATTTTGGCTGTGGACACCATTGTTGAAAAGGTCTTACAGCAGCCCCCTCAGCATTTCTGTGACCTGTCCTGCAACACATGAGCAGGGCCGCTGTAGGAGCGCCAGTGAGTGACTCAATGTTAGGGACCTGCTGTACCCTCTCAGGATGGCAGCATTTGTCCTCCCACCACTGCCAGGCCTCGCTGATATGTGTCAGCATTCCAGCACAGGCTGCTCCTGCATGTGACGAGGCGATCCAGTCCAGTGCTAGCCTTTGGGAGAAAGAACTGCTCTGAGTCTGCCTCGAAGGCCATCTGTCCTCTCCTGAAGTGAAATTCAGCTGCCTGAGAGCCAGTAGGATAGCACTGTGTCAGAGCTCCAGGACAGGAACAGCTCAATTGACGGTAGGCAATAAGAGAATTCACATGGATGATTTGTTGGCATCTGTATGCACTGTGGCATGGTTTGATTGATAAACTTGATTTCAAATGTTTGTTTTGGGATGGCTTTTATTTTAGCATTGCAATCAGCAACACAGGGAAGGTAGAGTAAAAAGTTAAAGTCGCCATAGCCTTAGCAGACCATGGGGTCACCATGCTCCAGGCAAGGGGAGAGGTTGAGAAGGAGATTTCTTCATGGTAACCTCAGCTGGTGCAGGAATGGAACCCATGCTGCTGGTATCACTCTGCATTGCAAACCAACCAGCCAGCCAACTGAGCTAACCAACCCCGACGTACTTGACAGTTGATGAATGAGGAATTGGGAATTGCAATGACTAATACCATGTTGAATGAATGTAGCCTGGACAGTTGGGAAGGCACTGGTCAATAGGTCTAGCAGCATCTGTAGAGAGAAAAACAATTCGATTTGATTTTGATTGATTACTATCCCGTGTACCAAGGTACAGTGAAAAGTATTGTCTTATGTGCTTTGCAGACAGGTCGTATAATACAAGTGCATCAGGGTAACAGAACAGAGTGCAGGATATAGTGTTACAGCTGCCAAGAAAGTACAGAGAGAGATCAACAGTAGCACTAAAGAGGTCCTGTCAAAAGTCTGATAACAGCAGGGAAGAAGCTGTTTTGAATCTGCTGTTACATGTGTACAAACTTTTATATCTTTTGCCCAATGGAAGACGGTGGAAGAGATTATAACTGGCGTGGGAGGGGTTTTTGATTATGTTGGCTGCTTCCCTGAGGCAGCAGAAAGTCAAGATGAAGTCAATGGACGGAAAGCTGGTTTGCATGATTGACTGAGCTGTGTTCACAACTGTCTTATAGTTTCTTGCGGTCTTGGGAAGAGCAGTTGCCATACCATGCTGTGATGCATCCAGATAAGATGCTTTCTCTGGTACATCTATAAAAATTTGTAAGTGTTGTAATGGACATGCCAAATTTCCTTAGCCTCCTGAAGAAGTAGAAGCGTTGCTGTGCTTTCTTGACTGTAATGTCAGTGTGGATCAAACAGGACAGATTCTTGGTGATTGTCACTCCCAGGAACTATTTCAAGTCTGGTGTAACGCTTCTTCAGAACCACACCTGTCCTACCAGATTTACACTCAAAATGTTCACTCTCTTTCAATCTCCACACATGCTGCAAGACCTGCTGAGTTTCTCCAGAACTCTGTATGTTTGTTTGTTTCAGATTTTCAGCATTCACCGTACTTTTGCTTTTATGGGAAGGGACAGTGTTGGTTTCATCTCCACTTCAAGTTGGTCACTGAAGCTGGCAACAAGGACTGTGCCTTCCTGATGGGGGGGCATTGTACAGGAGGCTGCAGACTCAACCAGAACACTGCTGAGTTCTGCAGATCTGCTGCAGCATGTCGCAGGCACAGTAAGTGTTGCTTGAGCATCCCAGTTCTCTGCCTGGCCCCCAAATGTGTGAGAACGTTTTACTGGAATCTCCAGTCATGTGAGCAGCAGATGACTTGTGTCACCCAGTGGCTGCCCTCTGATGTTTAACGGTGGCTTCAAAGTGCTGCAGAGTGACTCAGACATTGACCAGCTCATATGCAGGGCAAGAATAGCTGTGCTAACCGCTGTAAAAGGTGATTCTTGTAATAATGTTTTGGAGGGTGTGGAATCACTTCCAGTTCACCTGAAAAGTGACACGCGCACAGTCAATGGCAGCTTCCACTTAAAGCCAAGTTTCTTTTTCCAGCAGGAAAGAATAAAATGTATTCGGCTGGGAATCCAGAGCTTCGGTGATCTTCCTTCTGCAACAGCAGGCAGCGAATTGAGAGATGTTGCAAATTCTAGCTGCTCCAGTTTGGAAGGAAGCCGTCACATCACCGTTTATGGCCACAGTCACCTTTCACAGCTGTTAACAAAGCTGTTCTCGCCCTGCATTGTCAGCAGTGCCATTGTGGACTCATAGTGTTTTACAGCGTGGACCGAGGCCATTCTGCCCATTGGATTCATGCTATATGTGCCTCTGGTTTGACGAAGTGGATTTGAGTGGAAGTGTGCCTTTCCCTTCACAGTATGACCTATGACCTGTCAGTGGTATCTGTTTGTTACTCAAAAAGACCAGGAATTTATGATGAGATAGTAAGAACTGCCGATGCTGGAGTTGGAGATAACACAGTGTGGAGCTGGAGGAACACAGCAGGCCAGGCAGCATCAGAGGAGCAGGAAAGCTGACGTTCG